TTGACCGTGACGACCCACAGTAACAGGAGACTGGGAAACGCTGACCAGCCTCCGTCGGGAGAACATGGGACAGATCTGCTTCGCCCCCACAGCCGTCCACGCCCGGGTCATCAGCACACAGGTGGAGGCCTCTCTGGCGGGAGAAGATTGGTTCGCTTACGACACCACAACCGGCTTCGTCTGCAGGACTCAAGATCAGGAAGACGAAGACGAGTGTCTGGACTATGAAGTCCGTTTCTGCTGCCCACGTAGGTGTCATGTATAACACATCACGTTTTTAGTCATAAAAAATATGGCTACAACACTTTCAATCGCTGGCCGATGCACTATAGATCCCGTTGATTTTGCATATGTGCTAAAATGTACCAACATTAAGAATGAGAACTGTAGTTACCATACTGATACCATAGTTACCATACAAGCAAACAGACATACACAAGGAAGTAAGGAAGTAAGAAGATTTTGAAACTTCTAGACATTTGAAGTAGCATCCACTACATTTCGTCAGTGACTAGTCTGCTGATGGACAAAGGAAACATTGGAAACTATAACTGCCTGTTGGCTACAATGAAACTACCGTAAAACTTCGGTGTTGTTGTTCCCATATTCCAGCATGTACCCATTGGACAGCCTGGTACGACCGCGACAACCCGTCAGGAACCGGGGACTGGGAGACCCTGACCGACCTCCGTAAGGAGAACCCAGGAGAAATCTGCCTCACGCCCACAGACATCCAGGTCCGAGTCATCAGTACCGGGCAGGACGCGTTTCTCACGGAGGAAACGTTTGCTTTTTACGACGTCACAACCGGCTTCGTCTGTATTGAGGACGAACAGGACGACGACACGTGTCTGGACTATGAAGTTCGCTTCTGCTGTCCCCGTGAGTGTCCCCTGTCACACATTCACCACCTTCCCCCTGAATTGTTAACCAGGTTCGGCTGGCTTTCGGGCGTACTCTGCGTATGTTTAAGCCACGTCTATCTTTCTACATGAATCAAAACGAAGTTGAATCAAATGTAACCCCCTAACACGCCCCGAACTTTGCTTACTTCCGAATGGTTTGCAGGTGTTTGGTCAACTTACAGCCAAATCCAAATACCAGTCAACCATTGTTGAACCTCCCCACGTACTCCCGAATGTTTTAAACATTCTGAAAAATAGGCTGGCGACGTCGAATAGTAGCCGATTTGGCACTGTCCTATAGCTAGTCCTCACCTAGGTAGGGGAAGTTCAGCTAGTGTACCGGAAGCCACATTCGTGAATGCGTGATATTGGTTTAAGATTAAAGATCAAGACAGAAAAATCGATTCGGTGTTCAGAATTACTAGCAAGAGAATGTTTTGTTTACGCCAATTGAACAAACAACAAAGTGTCACTCAAAACTAGTACTTTTTTGCGTATTAATTGTCCTGGTATACAATGACGTTTAATATCTGAGCCTGGATTTAAAAAAAAATAAACCTTTAGCAGTTACTAGGAAAAATGTAACACTATGCATATATGTGTTACTTTTACCTTACACACCCCCAAGTCCTAGTCATAACTTCTGAACCTGCTTTCTTACATTTTCGATAAAATGGTTTATATATTAATAATTGAGTGCACCAGTGTTTTTTTTAGAATTAATTGCGTTCGTTTTCCACATCTCAGCATGCACCGTTTGGACGGCCTGGTACGATCGGGACAATCCTGGAGGAACCGGGGACTGGGAGACACTGACCGACCTCCGTGACGAGAACCCAGGTCAGATCTGTCCCATGCCAACAGAGATCGAAGCCCGAGTCATTGCCACCGGGCAGGAGGCGTATGACACCGGCGAAAGCTTCCTGTACTACGACACAACAAACGGCTTCGCCTGCCAGAACAATAAACAGAAGGACGATCGCTGCATGGACTATGAAGTCCGCTTCTGCTGCCCTGGTATGTACCTTTTAAGCTACCGTTTTAGTGTTTTTTATTGTAACTGTATAGTTAATATATTCTCCTTTCGGCGTAACATATCAGCTTTGAATCTGTATCTGCATGTATATAGCCAGTAAAACTAACATTCACTATACGCTTTCACTTTAGAATGTGTATCTGTATCTATATCCACATTCATCTCATCCACATTCATCTCGTATGTGGCTCCGTACATATCAATGTATCTTCATAGTCGGTATAAATTTTATTTAGAACGATGGTGATGTACTCCATAACAGATATATGTAATTTTATTTTGCTGGCAGGTGTTTGGGGCCATTTTAGACAAAACATGGAATTCGGCGATGTTCCATTGGGCATGACTGCTAAACTTCAACTTTCCGTTTGGCACACGCCATTTGAAAACCACCTAACTTGGGACGTCCGGATATCTAAGAGTATTTGAGAATATGCACATTGGGATTCTACAAACAATGTGTATACCATAAGGTTTCAGCAATGCCCCCATAATATTTTAATGGTTTCGCGGTGTTTTGGAAACATGGCCACATAAGTCATCGAAACCTTTGGCATTAAAAACATCAAGTGATAATGAATAGATATTTTATTTAAAATTTTACACCGACGTATATCGCTCCTGTACCCTGTTTTGTGTACTATACTAGAGCCTGTCCCCTATTTATGGCATGTCAACAAAATTTACATATGATGCCATACCCTTAGAATCAAGCCATTACCGTGGCCAACTGACATGCAAATTTTGTGTACCCACAGAACTCAATTAAGCATTGACTGATTGGGAAGAAGTGAGGGGTAGTGACTACTTAAGAACGAGAAATTTATACTTTTACAACTATGTTCTGCTATTGAGTTCAAATTACATTCTACCTATTTCTACAGATTTGAAACCCTGTCAGCAGCCCAAAGAGCCGGGACCCTGTAAAGGATCCTTCCCACGATGGTTCTTCAACATCCTGACCGGCCAGTGTGAGTACTTCATCTATGGAGGCTGCGGTGGCAACGACAACAACTTTGAAACCGAGGAAGAATGTGAAAGAGCTTGTGAACTAAGTAAGTACTCCGGAGGATCCATTACTTTTTAGTTGATAACACTTATTTTACACCACTTAAAAAATATTGACTTAAGACATTCAAAATCACCTCTGTAAATCATTGTAACAACAGTAACATAACAAGAATTCGGAGATCTCATACCTCCATGAAATGTTTTTGTGTTTTTTCGTCTCATTCACTGTGGAAATAAGGTCGTAATTACCATAATCTAATTTAAAGTTTTACAAATTCTAATTAACGTATTTTGCATGTGTAATTCCTCTCCTTTGTCAATACTTTATTTCAACATTTTCCTCATTAATCATGCAAATTTTCTGTACATTTGCATAAAATATGTATTGTGATAATTACCTTTAGATACTTACACATGTCACATTGCCACATGTCCTTATTCGGGAGAAGATCGTAAATGTGTGACAGGGGCGTCATTTTTAAAACGTGTTACAGGTGAGGATCCCTGTCTGCAGCCAAAGGACCCGGGGCCATGCAAAGCGTATTTCCCACGGTGGTTCTTCAACACCCTGACTGGGCAGTGTGAGATATTCATCTATGGGGGCTGTTTTGGTAACGACAACAACTTTGCAACCCTGGCAGATTGTCTTGACATCTGTGGAAGTCATTGTAAGTAAAGGAGAGATGCCAGTAAATTCATTTCTATATAGTTTACACTTTTATTACATATCACACCACAGTAAAATCTGGATATTTACCATGTTTTTAAGTTCCCGGTTGAGTTTAAAACCAGTAATTAATAACTTCGGGAAGGTTAATATCGAGCAGTCCATTTTGGTACAATTCTGTATCTGTATAGCCAGTATAACAGTCCTTCGGTGGTGTAACACACGTGTACATCTGTTCGCAAATGGGACCCTTCCATTCTTTTTTAGTTATGTTGCTACTGTTTCTCCTCTTTACAGACACAGGCCCTTACTGTCCTTCTGGCGACCCTTTCCTGGTCAACCACTTCTGTGGGCGGGGCGGGACTCCATGCCCTTCTAATTACTTTTGCCAAATAGACCCGGTGGACCGCTGGGCTGTCTGCTGTCCTACAGAAGGTATAATATGTTTTTTTACATGTAAATTTATTATTATCTCCATGCCTTAAACCGTCCAAAAAAGCCAAATATTGCTTCCCCAACACTGCCAAAAGCCCCACTCCCAACCCGACCGCCAACCAGTTAAGGTGTGTCGGGAGTAGGGTCGGCTGTGGTTCGCTAGTGTTCGGCCAGGTCGGCTACCGGTTGGCTATGTGTAAGCCGATTGTTTCAAAATATTGAAAACACAAGGGTTTCGTCTGGTGGTTGAACCTTCGTTCGCAGGTGGTAACTTTAAGAGTGTCTCAGAGTAAGCCAGAGTTGGGTCCATTCGTATATCTGGTGGTTTACTGTTCACACAATGGGCCTTTGGATCTTTTGAAGCTCTCTCACTGAGCTTTTGGGACAAGAATAATATTGCTTCTGCTTTGTACTGCTGCCCCTGTTATGTTATCTGCAATATACAAAATCTGGTGCATTTAGCGTGGCGGTGTAAGAGTTTGATACTTGCAGTTTCAGAGTGCTTAGCAGTTTCTCAATACTTGGCAGAAAAAAGGGATTGACCAGTTACCCGTGATATGTGTTACAGTTGAGGATCCTTGCGAACAGCCCAAAGATGTTGGACCGTGTGACGGTATATTTCCGCGCTGGTTCTACAACAGTCTGACAGGAGAGTGTGAGCTATTCGACTATGGAGGCTGCGATGGTAACAGCAACAACTTTCAAACTCTGGAGGAGTGTGAAGACACTTGTGGTAAGTACTAGAGTACCAGAGAATAGTTACTAGAGAGTTTCCTTTTAATTTATTTCATATCGCAGCGATTCTATGTCATACTGCAGCAAAACATTGTGTATTGTTGTTATTTTTTCGGTTGAAACGTGCTTATATTTAGTTTTTTATGTCTTTATATTGGAAGCAGATAGCTTGAGATATGGCATGGATGAACCTTAGACATATGCACGAGTAAAAATATGCATATGCCTTGATATTGAAAGCAGGTGGCTTGAGATACATGTATGGTACCCTAGACAAATGCAAACATAAATACGTAAAAATGTGCATGTGTAAGGACACGTCAGACGGGGCTGACGTCCCCGCTGTGTGCTGGCCGGTGGGACGTCAGGAAGAACCACGACAAGTCAGCCAATTCCCGTTCCAAGATTTTATTTGCAAAGTCCACGGCCGGCGGGATGTTGGAAGTGCAACAGTCGGTGGCGGAAAAGCTGGCTGGTCCTAGCGTAAGTCTAGCAGGCTCAAGTCACAGAGGTGTTCGGGCTTCTCAAGTTCTCACCAAGTCTCTGGCTTCTCTAGTTCTCACCAAGTCTCTGGCTTCTCTCCGGCTTCTCTCTTCAAGGTCTTACCAAATTCTCCAGTCTCTCTGTGGTTTCCGAGAGACAACCATTTTTATGCTCTCAAAGTTCTGTCCACTCCCATCCCCCCAAATTTGGTAATCTTTGTCAAAGTTGTGTCAAAATCACGTGAGGTACTTCGTCGGGATTGGACGGAGAAGATATGTAAAACGTGTCAAAATTGGATACTTTCACTGGCAGTTTTCGTCTAGACAATGCTCGAACTACCTGTCAAATGATTATTTTCTCATTTTTCGTGGGTGACCCTGGGGTCAAAAACTCGGGTTCATGAACTTTGGTCAAAGTAGGGCACCGAAAGCCTTACCCCTCGGATTTCGAGAGGGTCAGCCCACCCGAAACTTTATATCGTAAGGTCCAATGTGCTTGTCAAAGTTTTCTGGACTAGCCCACCCTGTTGTAGGGGAGCGCAACAGGTGCCAGCCTTTCCTTTCCACCGGTTCAGGATTAGGTACAAGGTTACAATCATGTTCCTTCTGCTGTTCCAACATCCACTTAGCCCACAAGTATAAAAATAGAAATCATAAGTACTGTTCTGTACGTTACAATGAGTTTTCCTTCTGTTTCCATTGGTACAACGCTATCCTGGATCCCAGCTTGACAAGAATAACAGGTTGTCCGGCCCATAGGCCACTATCGTGATCCTTATCTCTATTGACTAATTGAGTCCTTAGACCTTGGTGACCCGATATGTCGGGAGGGTGGCTCGAAGCCGGGATACTGCAGTCCAAACATCTGTCCTGTCCATCACTGGGCAGACAGTCGACAAAGGTACTCTTACAATACTGTATACGAACGGGAATCCGGCTAACATTTACATCGTACATATGCAAAAATACGAGAGAAAAGATACATAGTTCGCAAAAGGAATACCTATTATGAGTACTGAGAACATATTTAGGTACATAACTCAATTCAAGGTCCGCGTGCACTGTGGGGTATCGTTTATCTAATGACCTAATCCTGTCACCTTATCTAGCGCGTGGGCAAGTGGCCCAAGGGGATAGCCCGGCCGGGGCCGAGGGGCGGAACCGGCCGGTGACGGGCTGCTGGCTGCTTAGCAACAGCGTCTTGGGTGACGTATACCCTTGCCGGTTACCTATTAACTCTTTCCTGGTCCAGAGGTCGGGGGTCGTGCCCTCAAAACAACAAACTTAGCCTCCCTAGAAGCTTAAGTGTCTGAGAGGCTCTATCAAGACATTGCAGGTCATAGCAGGTTTTGACAGGCTGTAGGGGAGCAGGAGCTGAAGAAGTATAAAGCGGGGGCTCCCGCTTACACCCCCTTGCTTTAACATTGCGTCGTCCCCGACGCTATAGACGGGTCATTGAGGATATACCATACAGCGTGTTGGAAAGACCAGTGGTCAAACTTATACATACTTTGTACCTACTAACCACACGTAGAATAAAACCAACTAAGAGTATCAAACTTGGAAGAAATAGGAACATCAACTTCTCGCTTTAAGTATCAAACAGAGCGTGGGCAGGACCAGGATTGGTGGAGTTACGTGACGGACGCCGAATTCTCATCGTGCGCAGACATGCACTGAATGAAAGAGACAGGGAAGGATCAGACCGCGGAGGTGAGCTGGTACGGCGCCCAATTCTCCAGACCGACTCCTTGGGGACAGTGGTCTGAGTGGTCTAAACCCCATGCAACCATGGCAAGTTATCAATAGGATTGTAGAGGGCGTAACTGGCACCCTCCCTTAGTCTTAGAGAGAATCATATTCGTACTGTTTTATAGATACGAGATAACCACCGGACTACCCGCTGCCGCAGATACTGAAGCTGCAACAAATGCAAAGTGGTTTACGGGACGGTTAGTCGTCTAGGGCGTCCATATAGTTTCATTAGCTGTGGAAGGACGACACTGGTGAGGAGGTCATCGCTCCGCCTAGCTATCTAAACATCATGACATGCTGTGTAAAGGAAAATCTATGACATTGAGCTACGTGTTCGTGAGGACAGCGGAGGGCAGTCTGGTGCCTGTACAGAGCGTGATGCACCACTGTGACCCGGAGAGACGGAGCCACGTGAATGGGAATTCTGCCCATTGGCTGCCGAGGACGGGCCCAGGGCTGATCTACGGCATCAACCGGGAACATCTACAGATCTGTAGACTGGGGTACGAGCCCGGCAGTCCACAGGAGCAACCGGCGGAACCCAGACTGAGATGTGACGTGGTGCGGAGTGGGAGGACTCCACAGGAGAGACAATACCCTAACTTGTTTTGCGGCGATTCATCCGGAATCTAGACGCAAATGGGACTCTGACTTTGACTCTGACTCATCGCTCAGTTTAGATCTGAGTACCGGTTATTTACTCAAGTACAACTCACTTAACCTGTGGGATTTCGCACCATAGCTAACCGAGCGCGGGCAGGGTCGCGACGCCCTGAGAGCCACCCACTTAAAGGCTCCGGCTACCCGAACGTTTGACCCCAGTGCACGCTTCGCTTGTCATCTCGTACAAACTGGTTAAGCATCGTAAACATAAACATCAAAGATATAGTTAAACACATAAGAAATATATCAAACAATAGAGAAACCCTACCCACTTAACCTAACTTATCCTAACTTAACCTATCCTAGCTTAACTAGCCTTATCTTAACTAATCCAACCTTGTATTGCCGATCTCACAGTCTTATAGTCTTTCATGTGGAATGTTCGTTGCACGGACAATGTTCGTTCCCTTGGTGCTGCCACTCTGCACAGGATTAGCGTTCATGATTGTTGCACGGGTCTCTCAGGAACAGCGTTCATGGTGACGCGCACAAGTACATCCATTGGGCACGGTGAGGCTACGTACGAGGCTACATTGTCCTTTGGTCGACGCGTGGAGCAACATAGTTACACCCGTGCCTTACTACGCGGCTAAGGCAGGTGAGATGTCCAGAGCTATCATTGTCGTTTGACACAAGGCAATGGAGCGGGTGCTGCGTCGGTCTGCACATGCTGAACGGCGGAGACGCGTTGGATGCCAGACGGGCTTGTCGACGTACTCCAGCAGGCCTTGTGAGCGCTCGTGGAGAGTTTCCGTCACCGCGAGGGTTGGATTGGGTCCCAGACGAGCCTGCTGCAACCGGAAGTATTAGAGAGGACGAGGTATTCCCGAAGCAGGCTCAAGTCACGCGACTCCAATCCAGGGGGAACCGAAACGGCATAATGATGACTGAGACGAGGGATGACTTCCTCTCGTGGCCGTGTCGCGACGAGGAAGGACGAGAAAGAGGAGGACGGAGATCAGTCGACGGAAGAAGGAGTCTACATGCTGTGGAGGCAAACATCCATCAGCAGGTGAATGACGGGGGAAGGAGTTCGTTCGCTGAGACGGAGGCGGAGACGGCCATTTCCTACGGTTACTGGAGCCGACCGTCGGCGTTAGAGGGAGCCGACTCGACCAGATGGAGAACGAGATGCGCGACATGAAGGTATTCTGTAGAGGTGAACATGCACAGTCCACGCGGAGGTCGGGACGCGGGCGACTTCATCCACGGTCGCCTAGGGGACGCCGAGAAGGGCACCCACGGCGGCTTCAACGACGAGATGAGGCGGCTTGAGGTTCGTCTGGCTGTCGCTTATCTGGAACACCAGACAGGCGCTACAAGGAGAGCAAGACGACTCGTTCTCAGTTTGTGCCGAATCCGAGCTGCGCTGGGAGCGGAGACGAAAGTTCGCAGTGCCTTGTGCGAGTATTGAGAAGTGGCAGAGGTACAGGTCAAGCTGAGAGCGATAATCTGTTGCATTGACTTGACTTGACCGGAAACGACAGCTCAGGTTCCACCTCCGGTAGGAAGGAGCGGAGACTCGTGCGCGGACTGTAGGACGGAGACGACAGCACCGGGCGGACGTTCGCGGCGCTTCGTCACGATCGTGGCGGTGCAGGGACGGTACGACGACGGGATCGGACGGGAGTTCGCACGGGAGCTCTGGCTGGAGTACCGTTGAGACGACATCCACAGGACGACTCAGGGGCGGCGACGGTGTCCTGCAGCGGAGGAAACAGGGTACACGCATACACAAGCCCTAGCCCAGTCGCCTACATATCTAGTTGATCCGTAATATGTCCTAACCAACAATAAACCTAATTAGTAGTTAGTAAGCCTCAACTTAATCAGTTAGTGAACCTCGATCTAAGGGATTAGTAAATCCCCATCTTATTAAGCAACACACCTCAATCTATTTAGGTTAATAAAACGGAAACACGTGAAATATCTGGAGGCCTGGTCTTGAACCTGGCGACAGTAACTATGGAGGCTCGCGACTCCTACAGCAGAGACGAGTCCTGACACTTTTTTACATTCAATCAAGGTGTGGTATTCAGTGCGGACAGCAGCTGAGAAGGACAGATGGATAGAAAACACAAGGAAAACAGTGCAGTTTCCCTGAGAAGAGGGAGATCTGTGAACTGTTGACCGAACAGGGGAGACCCCACGCCGGATGACATTAGCTCCCACCTGCGCTGGTGACTACTGGGTAGCCTAGTTCAATTTTGACCCATTGATTTCCATAGGGCCCAGTACAAAATACAATAGAACCAAAGATACGGATACAAACAAAAACCAAAATAAACGAATTAGAATCGGTTTCCAGAACTCATGTCGATAATAAACAGTCCATGTCGGTTTTCCATCTAAGATTACGATCCAACTCTTACTACAACTAAAGTTTCGGACGCGCCCCTTCTGCGGGCCCACGCGTCTACTACACCCTAGAACACTGAATCCCCACCTGACCACCGTTGCCGCCGTAGTTCGCCTGTATCCCGCCTCTTAGGGGTCTTGGGTTACACAACTAGCCACTATGGATGGGAACCGTATCGGTTTCGTCCACCCCTGAGCAACCAACGGCAGGTCAAGTTTCGCGAAGGGGAAACTGTCCACTAGGGTTAGTCATCAATTTCGCCATCACTTCACTCAATCTGTGAGCGAATGACAACATTCATCAAATTAAAAATCTCATCAGAATCCCGGACACTCAACGGGTCGGCCCCGACAGAGTTCCCCATCCGATCGCCTTCACCACCACGATGCAGTTTGCCTGAGTCCCGCCCGTTTGGGTGTAGGGTTACATGACTAGCTGCTGCGAGCGCGGACCTAATTTAGTCTTTACGCCCATGAGCGGCGATCGACAGATCAGATTGCTAGCAGGGAAAGCTGCCGCCGAAAACTAACATCCTATCTTCAAACTCTATTTTCATCGGTTCACTGATCACAACGTACTCGGATAGTCCCGGCTCGTCTCGGCCGACTGCTCCCACCCTGACCTTCGCAAGCCGGCCGGGCAGCGTACGCGAGCCCGATTTGGGTGTAGACGCGTATCACCCCCAAGTCGACACGCTCAGGTTCAAGGCTGCACGCAGGAGCCGCCGTCGCGAGTCGGGCCTAGGACATTTTCTTAACTAAACTTAAGTAATCAACTGTTTTGGCGATGTGCCTTAAACAGCTTCGTCATTCAAATGCACATAACGTTTCAAATACTCGTTCAGTCCATTTACAGAAGTCTCTTGGCCCACCGCTATATATCGGAGGGCTAGAGATGATCATCAACAAAACCACGCCATTAACACGTAGAGAATGTTCGACGGAACCGTCAATGGCCGTGGGGGGGGGGACGGTCTGTCGTCTTTACTGTCATCTAATGCGGGACTCACTGGCCCTAGCCCTACTAGGATCTGTGTCAGTTGTGTCCGAGATGATTGGATCATCTTCCGCCACTTGATCCTTATCCCTAGGAACTAAACAGCGAGGGATGGTGTGGACGAAGCGATATCGTTCCTGATGTTCCCTAACCCAATCATCAATTACAACAAACAGTAGCCCTAACAACAGGATGGCCATTTTACAGTTACAAAAAGGATCTAGCTAACTAAAACCACCTACGATAGCACTGCTATGCGAACACTTCAAGCGACTGGGAAAGGCTGTGTAACGGCACCCCGTAACCCCACAACAGGAACACCCACCTTTTATCAGTCGCTTGTGTATCTTCTTTTCGGGTCCCCGCGTTGGTGTTCGTTCGTCTGATTCGAATCCTTGCTTCGCAGCGCCAAGATGTAAGGACACGTCAGACGGGGCTGACGTCCCCGCTGTGTGCTGGCCGGTGGGACGTCAGGAAGAACCACGACAAGTCAGCCAATTCCCGTTCCAAGATTTTATTTGCAAAGTCCACGGCCGGCGGGATGTTGGAAGTGCAACAGTCGGTGGCGGAAAAGCTGGCTGGTCCTAGCGTAAGTCTAGCAGGCTCAAGTCACAGAGGTGTTCGGGCTTCTCAAGTTCTCACCAAGTCTCTGGCTTCTCTAGTTCTCACCAAGTCTCTGGCTTCTCTCCGGCTTCTCTCTTCAAGGTCTTACCAAATTCTCCAGTCTCTCTGTGGTTTCCGAGAGACAACCATTTTTATGCTCTCAAAGTTCTGTCCACTCCCATCCCCCCAAATTTGGTAATCTTTGTCAAAGTTGTGTCAAAATCACGTGAGGTACTTCGTCGGGATTGGACGGAGAAGATATGTAAAACGTGTCAAAATTGGATACTTTCACTGGCAGTTTTCGTCTAGACAATGCTCGAACTACCTGTCAAATGATTATTTTCTCATTTTTCGTGAGTGACCCTGGGGTCACGAACTCGGGTTCATGAACTTTGGTCAAAGTAGGGCACCGAAAGCCTTACCCCTCGGATTTCGAGAGGGTTAGCCCACCCGAAACTTTTATATCGTAAGGTCCAATGTGCTTGTCAAAGTTTCTGGACTAGCCCACCCTGTTGTAGGGGAGCGCAACAGGTGCCAGCCTTTCCTTTCCACCGGTTCAGGATTAGGTACAAGGTTACAATCATGTTCCTTCTGCTGTTCCAACATCCACTTAGCCCACAAGTATAAAAATAGAAATCATAAGTACTGTTCTGTACGTTACAATGAGTTTTCCTTCTGTTTCCATTGGTACAACGCTATCCTGGATCCCAGCTTGACAAGAATAACAGGTTGTCCGGCCCATAGGCCACTATCGTGATCCTTATCTCTATTGACTAATTGAGTCCTTAGACCTTGGTGACCCGATATGTCGGGAGGGTGGCTCGAAGCCGGGATACTGCAGTCCAAACATCTGTCCTGTCCATCACTGGGCAGACAGTCGACAAAGGTACTCTTACAATACTGTATACGAACGGGAATCCGGCTAACATTTACATCGTACATATGCAAGAATACGAGAGAAAAGATACATAGTTCGCAAAAGGAATACCTATTATGAGTACTGAGAACATATTTAGGTACATAACTCAATTCAAGGTCCGCGTGCACTGTGGGGTATCGTTTATCTAATGACCTAATCCTGTCACCTTATCTAGCGCGTGGGCAAGTGGCCCAAGGGGATAGCCCGGCCGGGGCCGAGGGGCGGAACCGGCCGGTGACGGGCTGCTGGCTGCTTAGCAACAGCGTCTTGGGTGACGTATACCCTTGCCGGTTACCTATTAACTCTTTCCTGGTCCAGAGGTCGGGGGTCGTGCCCTCAAAACAACAAACTTAGCCTCCCTAGAAGCTTAAGTGTCTGAGAGGCTCTATCAAGACATTGCAGGTCATAGCAGGTTTTGACAGGCTGTAGGGGAGCAGGAGCTGAAGAAGTATAAAGCGGGGGCTCCCGCTTACACATGCATCATTTTAAATAACTTTTTTATATCTTAAAATGTATAAGCTGGGGGGGGGGGGTGCGTCAGTTCAAAAGCCCCAAAAAACAAAGTATTGAGGATATGATAGAGGTTACTTTCAAGGGTCAGATTTGCTCTGGGGTGTTTGAAAGATTTCATTGTACATGTGTGCTTTCAATGGGGTATTTCTGTCAACCTAGCGGTCTCAGAATACCAGGAACAATTGCCTGAGTTGAGTAGATTCCCAAAAATATGTGTTAGTTACCTGTTACTTCTTAACCTGCTACAGTTGACCCCTGTCAGCAGCCCAAGAAGGTTGGACCCTGTGAGGCTCTCATTCCACGGTGGTACTTTAACAGCCTGACCGGCCAGTGTGAGCTGTTCGACTGGGGAGGCTGCGATCCTAACGACAACAACTTTGCAACTCTGGCGGATTGTGAAAGAACCTGTAAAAGTAAGTACTAGAAGGTTAAAGTATATTAATGTGATTTTAGTTCGCATCAGTATACTTTTAGGTTTCCTGGTTGATCTGGCGCCTTGTGGATGGGGGTTGTGTAATGAAATACATCTATACATGAATGATCTTGTTACCCAAAAATGTGTTACAGTTGACCCCTGCCAGCAGCCCAAAAAGGTGGGACCCTGTAGGGCTATCATCCCACGGTGGTTCTACAACAGCGTGACCGGCCAGTGTGAGCTGTTCAACTGGGGAGGCTGCGATCCTAACGACAACAACTTTGCAACTCTGGCGGAGTGTAGGAAGACCTGCGGACGTATGTACGAGAAGATTCATTTCAGTTTACATCATTTACATTCAACAACACACCACATTTTCACATAGGTTGAAACAACAGTCAGTCAGGACAGTCAGTTTCTACGAAACGATGATATAGAACGGTCTACATGGATTGTAAAGATACAGAAGGTCTGTGAAATTGTATGAATACTGGAGATGTATCGTAAATGCGGCCTTTCAGTTTTTATTTGTTTGCTTTACATGACATAATGAGACCTATACGTGCCGATAAAAGGCTAAACATCAAGGTAATGAGATTTTGCAAGGATATTGTAACTCAGGTGACTAAATAGAGATTGAATATTCACTCCATCAGACGTTGTAAGTAGCATCCACTACTTTCCATATGACAATTTCCTTGGTAAGTTTTCCTCTGTCACTAAGAAAAAGGAATGGATGCTACTTGAAAGTCTGACAGTTTTTAATCTCTCTACATTGGATTGAGTTACAATTTTTTTGCGTATGAGACCTTTAGAAGAAGAAGTGATTAAAATTTAAAGGCCGTTCCTCATCTTCACAGATACAGGCCCTTACTGTCCGTCTGGTGCCCCCTACCTGCCTATCTCCTGTGGGCGGACCGTGCCTCGGCAAGACTGTCCTCGAACTCACTACTGCGAAATTGATCCGTTGGACCGCTGGGCTGTGTGCTGTCCTAATAATATAGGTATTCTGTTAGAGAGAATAAGCTTTGATTTTTACATGCGGATTTAGAAAACATTGCAATCTCTGACAGGGGTCATTATAAAATGCTCGACTGCTATGTTCCATGTCCATTACAATCACACAGAAGCACTATTGCCGGGGAATATTTATTTTTTATGCTCATTTTTCAAATTATGACAATATTGTAGTTCATGTCATTGAAATTTGTTTGTCCAAGCAAAAATATTCAAATCTGGGCAATGTTGCTAACTGATACAAGACTGTAGTAACTGGTTCGGACTTAGCCTAGCCCAGTCTAGCCTTTCCTAACCTAACCTAACCTAACCTAACCTTTTAACCTAACCTAAACTAACCTAGCCTAGTCTAACCCAGCCTAGCCTTTCCTCATCTAACCTCACCTATTCTAACCTAACCTAACCTAACCTAGCCTAACCTTGCCTTTCCTAACCCAACCTGACCTAACCTAACCTAATCTAACCTAGCCTAACCTAATTTAATCTAGCGTTTCCTAACCTAACCTAGCATAGCCTAGTCTAACCTAGCCTAGCCTAATCAAACCTAACCTAGCCTAACCTAGCCTAGCCTAACCTAACCTAACCTAACCTAACCTAACCTAACCTAACCTAACCTAACCTAACCTAACCTAACCTAACCTTACCCAACATAACCTACATAACAATAACATTGGCCCTTGCTGTGCAGGTCGGTGTCCTGAGGTACGAGAAGACCAGGTGGGGATATGTGTGGAGCTCTGTACTAAAGATTCCTGCCCCATGGGACAACTCTGCTGCTCCAATGGCTGCGGCCACACTTGTCAGGACCCTGTGTTTGGTGAGTCTTTTCATAGTTACATATTGGAATACATTTGCCCAAGACACGGTGCATTGTAAACCTACTAGTAGTTAGATATTTTAGCACACCTTGCAAGACGGTGTGGTACACCGTGGAAGCCTATGTCTCGGTGTCAAATGCTGGCATACGGTTAAACGGAAGAAGAAGTGCACTAAGTCCCACTCACTTCTTATTACAGACATATCAATGAGACTAACATCCGGATGTTCGCTCCACAACGCCCAAAAATATTTCAAATCTTTCAAAGACAAGTCATGGTATGCAAAGTCAGGTCTATGTGGTTACTATAGACATAGTCGTTGTGTTCGTGATAAAATGAGATATTATCTATTTACTTACAGACGTAAACCCAGGCAGACGTAGACCCACGCCTGAAAAGAGGACCTGCCCAATTGACATCGTGATCGTCGTCGACCTTTCGTCGAGCCTGTCGATGTATGATTTCTACCGGATCAGACGGTTCATCGTTGAGTTAATTGAGTGCTTCATCGAGGAGTGTGTGAGTGTCGAGGTGAGTGTCGATTGCTGTATGTTGTCAGATCTACAACATTCACAACATCATCACATCTACAACATTCACGAACAAAGGACAGTGTTAGATCAGGACATCGGTGTAGAAACAACGTAGACAAAATCACTGTAACACAAGTGAGTGTATTATAAGTAACCATTCTGTATGTATGCTGTATAGCAGTGTAATGTTGTCGCCTTTACATATATGTGATTGTGTAACGTTATGTGTTTTGGAATCCAGGCAGATAAGTTGCTTTTGCAGTTGTTTTTGCAACTAATGGATATCCCAGTAAATGAAGTACCAAGTATCGAGAGACGTTACCATTCGATCAATCCATTGTAGTTTGTAATTTTGCAGGTTTTTTTCTTCTTTTTTTTTAGACGGGACACTCCGATGCCCTTTTATATCTACCCACCCACAACGATCTCAAAGATATATTCAATGTGTTCCTCAAGCTTCCGAAAGTTTGCTGGAAGTTCAAAACTTTTTTTTTTGTTTCTAAATCGTTCCGTAGATTGGAGTCATCACGTACGACTGTGTCCCGACTACGTACCTCCGCATTGGCACCTACGCGCTGACGGACCCCGCTCTGATGGGCACCATTAACCACCTGATGTTCACGGGAGGTCTGAGCGATACTGGCGGCGCTATCAGCTACATGACGGCCACGGTAGGATCACCATATGATTATTTGTCCTGCACGTTTTAAAGATCCTATGAAATTGAATTGATCCGTGAATTGGCTGGAAAGAAGTCTGGAGTCCTATTTATCCAGGGGGATGATAGACTAAACACTTGGAAAAACCATTTCTCCAAGTTGCTTTCTGATATGAGCCTTATGATATCTGACATATTTTAGTTTTAATAATTCTGTAAGTTCTCTAATGATAATAATGATAACCGTAATACATTTGTGTAATCATATATTCTGGCCTATTCTTAGACTAATTCTCTAACCTATTCTGCATACATGTATAAGTAACTTATACCTCATCACCAAAATTAACCCCTTTAAGTGCATGTGTGATACCTTTGTGTGAAATTTTAACAAGAAGATATTGTTGATATTAGTACTAGAATCTATTGGGTTGTTTTATCAATTTAGTACTACATCTTAACCCTATTCTGAACGTCATGATAAAATCTAACTGAGATGCTACAAGAAACAAAAATGTTGTTGAAAAGTGCAAGTGTAATAGCATGTGTTTCTCCTCTAAATCAGTTTTGTTGTTTTCCTGTGTTTGTCCAGACGGATTTCCGTGAGAACGTTCCCCGTGCAGCAGTGATTATAACAGACGGAGAGGTGGGGGACTTTTATTTTTTTAGGCCATGTTGATTTGATAATATGGATGACATCCGCGCGCGCGGATTTCGACCGTTTCAAAAAAAAAAGTTTTCAACCATACTGTAAATCGTACAAAACAGTTGCAAAATGAGCAAAAATATACCGTAAGTTACAAAAAAACCATACCAATGTCGTAGAATGACAAAATCAAGCGAAAAAAGACGGAATTGCAAAGAAATGAACTTGAAGACCAGATTATTCGCCAAACCATATTCTGTCCCATTTGTTCAACCCTCATGACCACGTAGATTTCAAAATGAAAACAACTTTTTTTTTGCAAAACTTTTTTTTATTCGCACGCGCGCATCAATTTTGGGGTTCCCGGAGGATGTCATCCATATAATCAAATCAACATGGCCTTACAAGAATTTGAGGGGTTTTTTTTTGGAAAAACTCTCCTTTATATATATAGTTGCCCGCCTAAGGGTGTCAGCTATTATTCCTGGAGAGAGTACATAAACATGACAATACATCAACATTTTATTATATACACATTTACATTACATAGTTATATTTACATGTGTTTTACTTATCCATGTCCCTCATGTGCTTTAGTAGGCCTTGTTTAAACTTCTCATGTGGTGACAATGTTTGCAACCAATGTGGTAAAGAATTCCATGGTGTAGTATTTCTGTATGTGAAGGCTTTTTAGTGCTGTTTTTAGTGCTGATTTTTTTTAGGGCTTTTCAAGGCTTTTTAATGTTTTTTTTTCAGTTCCTGACGAAACAATGCCTTTGTGAATGAATAAATATCTGACAAAAACTTGGTCATATTTGTTAAAGAAGTTCATAGGTCACGTATGAATCACATTAACTAGAGTATCTACATGTGTCACCAAGAGGTGATTTGAAAAGGTAAAAAAAACGTACCTCTCAAAACTCTCTGGTCACTCCGTGATCAAGGCGTACTGTGGACGCCAAAAATTGCAGGTTTTAAATGTATGTCTTGATTAAATAACATGTTTCAATCCGTAAGCAATTTCATCAGGTTGGTAAATGAATAAATAGCAAAGTTCTTTGATCACAACCATTTAGTTTTACTAGCCGACGTTTCGATGACCGTCTGTCCTCTTTATCATCGCAATTCTGACTGGTTTACTGTACTGACACTAGATGTTACTTGGTGCAAAGTGCACTAAAGGTGTTACATGGTTCACATTGCACTTAAGCTAGTCTTTTTTTTCATTAGTCGGACGATAACGCGGTAGGACAGGCAGACGCTGCCCGGGCCGAAGGATTCTGGCTGTGCGGTGTGGGGATGGGACATGTCAACACAGCTGTACTGACAGCTATCGCCGGTGGCGCGGACCGTGTCTTCGGTGTTCGGGATGCCTGCGGACTCGCCGCCCGCATCATACGTGACCTTTGTCCCCCGATGTGGTGAGTATCGTCAAAACAGTAATTTTAATCAGTCAAATGGCTTCATGGTCTACGCCCTCGATAATGTCCGCCTCGTGGGACGACCACAGGCTACATCTTTGTCAAAGTTAGGCCATGTTGATTTGATTATATGGATGACATCCGCGCGCGCATGAATTTTCGGCCGTTTCCAAAAAAAAAGTTTTCAACCATACTGTAAATCGTACAAAACAGTTGCAAAATGAGCAAAAATATACCATAAGTTACATAAAAAAATAATAAAAACTATACCAATGTCGTAGAATGCCAAAATCAAACGAAAAAAGACGAAATTGTAAAAAAAAAATGAACTTGAAGACTAGATTATTCGCCAAACCATATTCTGTGCCATTTGCTCAACCCTCATGACCACGTAGATTTCATAATGAAAACAACTTTTTTTTTTGCAAAACTTTTTTTTTATTCGCACGCGCGCATCAGTTTTGGGGCTCCCGGAGGATGTCATCCATATAATCAAATCAACATGGCCTTAGAGAAAGACGCTGGTCCCACGGTACTGTGTATTGGAGTGTACGTCACCGAAAATTAATCCGAAGGCATGATGATGATACGACCGTTGCCATTCGAAACAGTCATTGCCTTATTACAGAACAAAGAACTCTAAAAGTATATTAGAACGGTCCGTCAGCACCATAATGTTTGATGGCGTATAGGTTAGAGTTTTAATTTTTTTTTGACCCAGGATCTAATTCGAGCTTATGGTCTGCTTTTTGTTTGAATATCTACTATTAGCCAGTCATTCATTCTTTTTTTACGGTGGTGGCGAACATTTGCAATGTAAATGTTGTTTTTAATATGTTTAAAATGTTTCGCCCCTCAAAAAGTTATGATATATTCAGATATGGTATAGACATCGGTCGTTTTTATAAAATTATAAGGTTTTGGGTTTAGAAGGACAAATATTTTCAGGGAGAAGTTTTAGTAATGTAATGGCGGTCCAAACATGACTAAGTTCAAGACTGCAGTTAACAGATTCTTGTTGAATTCCTCCTAGAGATTTTCTACTTTTTGACAATAATGTACCGTGTATTATGTATAATGTATTTGATAAGGGTATGTATGTGTAATTAAGCGAGGGGAATTGATGTGACATATTGAACCGAAGATCATCGTTATACGATGTTAAGATCAGGTTCACTCTGCACTGATTAGAATGGGTAATAAAAAAGTAAAAATTTATGACTGTTTTACTTCTTTTGTCTTGATTAATGGTCTTGATATTTTTACGTGATCTTTGAAAATAATTAGGCATGTTTCTGAAAAGCAGTTCGATTTAAATACGACTTTTCTCTCTTTGAACAGAATGAAGACCGTACTCAAGACTTGAAAGCTACCTGTTCACGTAAACCACTGCTGATGATAAATAAGACAGTATTATTAATCTACATGTAGATGTTTAGACCTTACTTCCAGCTATTGAATATGTTAATCGCACAGAAAAAAACATTATAATTATATATAATAGTATAAAGGAGTTGTAGAAGTGGGAACAAAAGTAATGTTGTAAATGGCAGAAAATGTACCTAAAGCCGTAGAAATGTATGTATCAATAGTTACCATATCTGCATGCATATGTGCATTTGACATGGAGTAGCTAGGAACAGTCATTAGAAATGTAACCTAGAAAAAATACAATAATATACATCGGTGACCTGCTTGAGAATCTGTAATTGGAAAAACCTGGTGTAATACACCACAGATGACGCTGATCATGCTAAAATAAATGAATATAAATATAGAATATAAGAATATAGAAAACTAGGAAAGAAAGGAGATAACCTTATCTGATAATGTAGTACAATATATCAATTGATCAAGCTAAAATATACCAACAGCAGTGTCAATATTTAAGATGTCATAAGAGTAAGATTAAATGTCTTAAAGGTGGCAACGGTAGTCATATAACTTACGTTAACATAGTTGACGTATAGGGCACTTCTTAAAGATGCTATTGATAAATACCTAAAGCAACTTATTACAGCAGACATTACACTGTAAGCAAACTTTTCCCTAGGTTGGTAAGTACTTTATCAATATTTATCCTTCCCTCTTTATTCATACTAATATTCACATATTGACATTAAGTGCTTGGCAGATAAGCAGATGATTGGGACAAAATCACTATCTAACAGATACAAGTACTACATGTACATGGAGACATGGACATTAACATCGAGTTCAAAACTAAGTAAACTTATACCTATTCCGAAAATAGTTCCCAAAGCTATATGGGGTTAGTACATGTACATGTACATTCTTACATGTGATAACTACGTGTGATTACGACATCTATATGCTTTGAATAAGTGCTATCCAATTGCAGTTTATCCAATTTGAATAAGTTATTCCAATTGCAGAAGTTTAACTTTAAGACCCCAACAGTACAAGCAGTGTTTGTTGTACTGCTTTTGCTTAAGATTTAATTTTAGAACTGTACGCAAACTTATAAAAGATACATATATCCACTAAATACCTGTTATGTAACCAAGGAAAATAAAAGGAATAGACGTGAAAGTCAATGCTTTTGGCGATGTTTTTGGTTTGCCTGTTGTTTTTTTCTGATAATCATTGTCGTAGATTAGCAGTAAATGAGGATCACCCAGCTAAAACCTGCTCAGATCATAGTAAAGCGTTGAACTTTATTCCAACACAAGGGTTACAGAGCGATCAAATTTTCGACCACCACTGTCGCCTTCATCAGGATAATGAACGAACAATCACTTCACAACGTGATCTCGCGAGAGTTACGGTTTACAAACACGTGACCTTATTCACACGAGATTTAACTGATACGTGACGTAAGCAATTGATCAAAAGTGCCTGCTCAGATCAATGGTCTTCCTTCCATCCTCAGATCTTTCTGGATCACGCCAGGTAGTAAGAGTAAATATTATAGCTTTCTTCTTATATACCTCTGCTTGAAATTATACCCGATTGTAAATTTATGCTGAATATATTTTGGAGGCCGTAGTTTCTTCTAAGCCTATGTACAGCACTTACCTAATGTGAACAAAAACAATCAACTCGGAGACCCCATACCCCATTCATAGAATATTTAAATCAGCAACAAATAAAGTAAATGCATCTGTAACATATTGTCATTTTTCGGCATACATAAAAAAGGGAAATATAACACATTTATTAGACATTCATATTCTGTGACAAGAACAAATCTGCCTAATAAACTTGTTGACTTACGAACTACTAAGTACCTAATACCAGCTCTAGAGAAGAAGAAATAGCCATGCCTTTAAATGCCAGAGTTATCAACCAAGGATTGAGGTGTTTAAAATTACCTTTTAAAAAAATTATCGCAGATTAAAACTTGCTGTCACGAGTGTCTTTTTTTTTGTATTTTTTTATAAGAAATCCAAACCAACTGTAAATAGTCTTTTTTTTTTTCGTGGAATATGTTGATCAATATTCTCATTTCCACTTGGGAGGGTTCCTCTTAGAATCTTTCTATTTTGTGTAAAGAACCATAAAAACTAACTCTTAGGCTTTCAAAAATACAAATCAGTTTGGCAGGACATGAGATATAGGGATGTTCTTCGTAAATATGTAAGAACCACCACAGATTATGTAAGAAGAAAATCCCCATATCTGACTTTTAGGCCAGTTTGAACGGCCCGGCAAAACTGAATACATTGGTCTGTTTGCCTCTGGTCAGAGGCTATAATGGGGTTAAAAGTTATTTACAGTAAAAACAAACTTGTTTTGGCTGGAAGAGTCACGTTCTGTCGTAAGAAATCCTAAAATTTTAAATCAAATTGACAATGTAGGGGTCAGACTACCTTGTAAAGTGTATTGTCATGGTCTAAATCTCATGATCTTCTTTATTTGGCAGCTTATATCTTTTTTTATCTATGTTAACATAGCATTTCAATAGGAGCACGAAATACTAATTAGCTGTGCCCTGCACGAGAGACACCCCCCTACTCCTGCCACTTGGTCAGGTCCATCTGGGACAGAGAGGAGCACGCCACCCTCTCGTTCCCCGGCTGTGTGGGCAGGCTGAAGACGTCCGGCTGCATGTGTGTGGTGCCGTCCGTGTTGTCGCACAGGATCCGGGCCAGACTGGTCTTCCTGATCTCCGCAAGTTGGGCTGCAGAAAAACGGGCAAAATTGAAAATAACTATCATCATCCCGAGATCCCTCACTTACACAAGACCTTTATAATCTTCTGTAGCACAGAACATTTTTGCTCCGCAATTTGACCTAGTCAACTAAGTCGTAGGGTCTTATGTCAGAGTGCTTGACTCGGAATAAAGAGGTCCCGGGTTCGAGTCCTGACATGCCACCGATCTTGTGCCCTTGGGAAAGGCACTTTACACGACTTTCGTCACTTTGCTCAGGTGAAAATGAGTACTGCATTGTCCCCTGTGTTGGTGGCAGTATTAAAATAAGTTGGAAAAACTTGAGTGTGCCGTCACCATGTCGTGTGATTAAATCCTGGAATATTTAAAAAAGATGTTGACCTAGAGAATTAAACAAATATCAAATGATACATGTTCAGTACAAGGTCGTAACTTTTATTAAAGCATGGATGATGCAAAACTTTGGCTCCTATTGTAGTTTATATTGTCCACCATTGCATGGGCTACACTAGAGAACCGAGAATGTAAGAGGATATTTGAGGATGATGCCTCTGTCACAAATCAAGAACTACTAGTATCCCCATAACGGAAGTCGATCCAAGGTTAGCCGAAATTCAGTAGTAGTCTGACCAGATTAAGGCCACGCCTACCTTTCCATGTGAATTTGAGCTAAATTCAAATCAAATTTTAATGCCAACCACGCCAAACCTTACAAAAAACAGAGCAAAACGTGGCTAAAATTTCCTCATGTTCACACCAAAATCTTTGGGCATTTTGAAACATTATCGGCTGGCGCAGCCGAAAAGTAGTACATCTGACCTGGACAAATACCAGCCGCGACCAAACCGACCTTTCTCCCAACCTACTCCTGACAAAAATTTGTAGGGTATTTGACTGGTGTTCAAGAGGACAAATTCATAAATATGTGACAGCAAACCTGCTGTAAACTGCCCGGGATTCTCGAACCAGAAGCGGTCCCCCTTGCGGAGATTCTGGAACTGCAGGCCGATCAGACAGGCGAAGGTTGGACCGACGACACCGCCCGGCACGGACTCCTCGGCCAGGCCCCCCACGAACACGTCGATATCGTCCACATGCCTGTGCGAAATGAGACATATTCAATATTAGAAACAAGAATTCAAAGACCTCGGGCCTTTATTAAAAGCAAGTCACAACTTTTAGAAGAATAAAAAAATATCTACTTGCCTTTCCTTGCACTATTTAAGTGGCGCAAAGGCAACGAGAGAGATAGAGAGAGAGAAGAAACAAAAACAATATATATTCTTCTTGGACGTTATTATGGATAATAACCACTATTCCACTTCATGTGACATATATCAACACAATTCTAAGTTGTTGTTGTTTTCCGTTCTGGAAACATTTTTAACATGCTTATGGTGATAAAATAGAGAAAATACACTTTCGGAATCGGTACAACAGAACCCCCACCTTCACTTTTCGCCGAAAAAAAATTGACAATTCAATCTCTTCAACTACAGGTATATGCACGTATTCTAAAATGCGGGCGCTCTTGTATAATGTTCAGTAACACCGTATAATCTACCGGCACATAATGGTCTACCATTTTTTTGTTTTGCAAGTCTTACATAATAAATATATACCTGTACACATTCTCCAGCCTCTTTCGGGTGAAACAGTCTGGGATTTCAAACGCCAGTTCGTCGAAGTTGTTGGCTCTGGGCAGGCCACACTTCTCCCTCCAGGCGTTGTAGCCGGGAAGCCCGTGGTCTCTGCCCCGCTGGATGTTCAGCGCCGCCAGGTCCAGGCCGCGATCTGACCCGGGAGGAACCGCGAACAGCTGCTTCGTCAGGCTCGAGACCATGAACCGGTCGAAGTCCTGTTGTGCCTGGGCGGTCAGTCCCCGTAGGATGGAGTCCGGGCCGCCTTGGTCGTTGTCAAAGATGTGGGACGGATTGAAGAAAGCCAAGCCGAGCTGAATCGGGCATCTGCTGTCCTGGTTGTCAGGAGTAAAGCGGAGGAGAAGGTTCTGAACCAGACTGTGGCCGAATCGGTAGGCTGCCGTGGCGAAGACGTTAGAGATGGTGGGGTTCACGCTCGCGTCGTACCCGGAGAAGAACCCGCTCTGGAGGAGGGTCAGGTGAAACTTGGTCATGGCGTCCGGACCGAGAACGTGAGGAAGGTCCTCCCCGTACGTGATCTTCTGCATCAGCGCGCCGACGATCTTCCTGGTCTCGAAGAACACCCGATCGTCGTCCCAGCGCGGGTTGAGTTGGGAGAGTCGCCTGGCGATCCTGTTGTGTTCCCGCAGGAAGACGGTGTGCATTGAGGTCAGTCCCGGCTGCTCGTTCACACGGACGTCCCCGGCCTGCGAGCACGTCTCGGACCCGTTAAATCCATCACACGCAAAGCCCTCCTCTACGGCGGCGGGCAGGAGCTCCTTCTGGTTAGCGTCCGCGGGGTTCAGTCTGGATTTCAGCATGCCGCGACCTCCTATAAGGGACAAGGAGAGCAAGAATTGGAATGGTGAGAGAGGTACAGACTAAAATAGGGAAGTAGTTGCTACCTCCATGAAAAATTAAGGTACTGTTTTTGGTCTCTGTGTGTGTTTGTGTGTGTTTGTTTGTTTGTGTGTGTATGTATGTGTGTGTTTGTTTGTTTGTTTGTGTGTGTGTGTGTGTGTGTGTGTGTGTGTGTGTGCGTGTGCGTGTGTGTTCTCGCATGGCACTTAAGTTCATGACATTGCTACTTACCGCTGCAGGTATATCTAACAACCAGGAACTTGGAGGTTCCAGCACAAGGATCCCCGAACACGCTACTGGAGGCCGTCACGGAGCAGCTGGACTTCCCCTGGCAGCGAGTCCTCACGCGGGCTCGGCTGTTGCGGCTTCGGCAGTCGGTGGTGAGAATGGGACCGTTGGAGCAAATTCCCCGGAAGGTCCGGCCGTACAGGGCGAACACAATGTTGATCTGTTCTCCAGTGGGACAACTAATGGCCAATGTTTCGTCTTCACAGGCTCGCGCGCGTCGAATTTGTTCCGGTGCTCCTGCAGCAAAGAATAGCCCAACTTGTCAACTTTTTGTCTCAACCTAACCTCAACACAGTAAAGCAGTTAACCGAATCCTTTTGTTGGGCCAGGAACGCGGTCAATATTATAGTGACGGAGCCTTTCTGCACAGTAACCACATATAATGGCACACAGGCCTTCGTGGCTTAGGTATAGTGAGGGTTGAGTTGATCAAAGACCTTGAAGCATGTTATGCTGCAAACCTTTTTTCGTCCGTTGGGCATGTAGCTCTTATGCATATAACTGTATCATATCTACAGCAATGATCGAAGACCAATGATCAATAGCACCCACTACCCTACTGTATTTAGAACCGTTCCTATATAGTTCTGTGCCTGAATGGGTTAATGGGTTAGGACCAGGCAAGCAGTCTCATTATTAGATTTAAACCCAGGCATGGAGTACGCGTGAACTGTCCAGAATTCGTAATAATCTAAAATCCATTCTTATCATCAGTACCGAGTCTCTTTTTTTTCTTTAGTGCAATAACGTGAAGAATAAGATAAAGATGACTCGAAAGACAGCTATGAAGAAGTGGAGGGGACTGTTGAGGAAGAGACGAGTTCTGTGCGCAGGCCACTCGAACGACTAACTCGAGGAGACCTCAACAAGTACAAAGTACAAGTAAGTATTACCTACCGGCATGTTCTCTGAGCTCCTCTATCTCTTCCTCCGAGGAGCCGTAGACGTTGGAGGCGTCCACGAAGGCGGTGAGCTGGTTCAGCTGCTGCCGGCAGCCCATGTGGCACCCTCCGTACGGACAGGAACGGGAGCGTGCGAACCCCAAACAGCGGCTTCCGGAGAAGTCAGGGTCGTCAGACGGGATGTTGATGTTGAAACAGTGCTCGTCTACGGAGTCGCAGCCACAGTCAAGTCCTGAAGAAACATGAAGGAAAGGAAAAAGAAAGCTGCATTACGACGATAAAAAGGTAAAGTTTCATTTCTTTACAAAGTACGTTTAATCAACCCCACTCAATAATACTCTCCTGAGAAAAAACATGTAATAGATTATGGAAAAACTCTGTTAAAATCGGATTCAGTTTGTGTACCTACCCCTTTTGTTTATTCCCTGCCAAACATTGTACCAGTTACAGTTGTTAATATGATTTGGTTGAAAACAATTTTTTTTTCAGGAGGCACCACTATGTGCAGGTGCAGAACGTTGTAGCATATATGTTTGCTTACATTCTGGTATTCTAGGGGTGTTTGGCGCCAATCTTAAATTTTAAAAAAGGCAATAAAATATTACAAATACTTTAAAAACTAGGAATAAATGACAATCACATTCATATTTTTTTCAGTTGACATATCTAGATTTGGTGAAAAAATGTCACATAACTAATCGAGATGCATTTTATTTGGGTTCGCGAACCTTCTTCCTGGAAGTTGGGTGTGAGAGTGATGTCGTGGTCCAGGAACTGTCCGAACTGCATGACCATGTGGGTGTTGACCTGGCTGGATTTCCGCAGGTCCTCGTGCATGGTGGTACTGACCAGCCGGGCGCTGGGGAGGGGGTCGCCGTCACGCGCAGTCGTGCGGGGTGCCTTGAAGCCTGGGAAAAAAAAACAGTAATTTACAGTCAAATTCATCATCATCTACTGTGTTCTGCGTCTACAGTCGTGTGGAAATGTCCTGTAACCGCATTCAGTCTTTCTTTATCTCTTTCCACCGTGTCCTCTGCCTCGCGAGCTCTCTAATCATAAGCTCCTTGAGTTTCTTTTCTGTTGTGGGAGGGCATAGCCCTCTGCGCTTCAGGTCTCCCTTCAGTAAGCTGAGTAGGTTGATACAATGTCTCCCCCTGCGAGCTTTATAGGATAAGGAATGAAAACTCCAGAGCTTTTTGTGCAGGTGTGTCTTGTGGCATTTTGAGAATATGTCCGAAGAGAGACCACCTGACTTTGTACAGCGTGTCGTTGGTCACCCTGCTTCTTAGCCATTGAAGACCTGTGATGGCACGCAGATGTTTGCGGTGACAGGTGTCTAGCTTTTCTATGACTGTCCTTGGTGCTGCTCAGCTGTTGCAGTTATATAGCATGATGGAAACACAACAGGCATTGTGCAGTCACAACAGGCATTGTACAGTCAAATATGCCTAGTATAATGACCACTCAAGGGTTAGTGTTTAGGCACACTTTAGATAGGAAACGGATTGACTGAATCGAACCATTACCGGTGGCGAAGTGTTTCGAAATAGTATACCGTTCCCAGTCTGAAGTGGGCCTTAAAAATTGGTTACTATAATTAAGTGGTCTCAAAAAGGCAGAAATCCAGCAGGACTAATAAGATCAATAAGTAATTTCAGTTTCCATGAAAATATTCTTCAGTCACCTTTTCCCCATTCCCGGGATGCAAAGCGCGAGGGGTAAGAACTTGCTAAAATCGTGATGTAGTCAGGCTTTGGACTTGACCAGTGCGGGGGGGGGGTGCTAGAAGCGTTATGTTGACAGGCTAAAGGCCTGACCAGTTGTTGGGCTGCTAGAAGCGTGATGTAGTAAGGCTAGAAGCTTGCAAGTGAAGGGCTGCAAAAAGCGTGATGTATTCAGCCTAGCAGTGTAGCATACCGTCGCCGTAGTCTGGTTCCAGCAGCCTTCTCAAGGGTTGCTCAGCACTTCCCCACAGGGGGTGGTCCCGGTTGTTGCAACGGCCGTTTGCCGAACGGAACTCTGGGACGGCTGGTGTGGGACACGTGATCGGCTTCATGGAGGTGTCGTCACAGACGCTTGTCACGCTCTGGGAGTCAATGGCGGACAGCATCGCTAGAGAGTAGCTAATACTACTGGAACTGAAATTAAAAAAAAAATCTGTCAAACGAAGAATTACTTTTCGGTAATTTTCGTGCCTCGTCAATTCAGGATTTTTACACTTCCCATAATGCCTAGTAAAGATCACGGATATGATTACCCCTCCCCCTTCCTCGATGTGATATTTCCAACAAGTTCTATCGACAAAATGATCAACTATATTGTTACAAATTCAGAATTTTTAGATTCTAAGTGAGCAATGCTAACATCAAGACCACCTTGCTAGCTTCTACCAGGCTTCGGGAGGCGGCTCGAAAGAGTAGAAATTGGCCACACTTTCGTCTTCTAATTCATTCACAAGAGACAGGATATCTCACCTGCCCATGAAGTATGCTGCTACCTTCTCCAACACGGTGGCACATCTGCTGAGCTCTTTGGCCATCGGGGTGGAGCGGTGTTCCGTAGCCAACACGTTCAGAGCTCCCGAGAACTGATTTTCCTCTGGCCCAGGACCTGGAAATTATACGAGATATCTGTTTCTGTATCAATTGCCAGCTAGTACGAGTATAACCACACCAACTTCCGTATCTGTATCTCAATCTGAGAGAAACTAAGCTAGGTGCTCCTTTTCACCTAAATCGAGGGAGGAAATATTTGAAAAGTGCCTTTCCCAAGGGCACAGCAATGGGGCATGGATACATACCAAACGTGGGGTACGTTTCTATGTCTGTTCCACATACTCACCTCCTGAGACTAGTTTCGCAGTCGCTACAACCTCCATCTCCGATTTAGCCTGGGAGACCGCCTGCTGCAGGTCTTGTTCTGTAGGCGTCTGGCCGGTAACCATGACAACCGGCGGCGTCAGAGCAACCGCAGCTAAGAATATCGGGATCAACCTGTAAGCAAAAGATATTCTTGCTAAGTAAAAAAAAAAATTAAACTGTTAAAAGAATTTGTGAAGCAGTGGGTCAAAATTCGTCAGAAGCCTTGGTCTAAAAGATTCGGTCAACAGACGAAAATTATCTTGAGTTGGAGAACAGTTTAATTTTTATTGTGTAATTTACCAACCCAGATGGACTTTCATGCCGAAACCCGTGTCATCTTTGTGGTAAATTTTTCGGCTGACGAAAATAGATACCAGAATAAAGGAGAAAGCGTAAAAAAAGCCTACAAGGAAGTTTAAGAAAAAAAAATAGCCTATGCCTAAACCTGTGCTTGGAGAGTAAGTTGTATCAACTAGTATGTTTGTGTGCTCCGGGTAATAAAGGTCACTGTACATAGCACTCGTGGGCCTAATCCGTAGTGAATAAAAGTGCGGGTACAAAGTAGTGCAGCATAAAAAATGGAAAAGGTGCCAAAATTCTTTTGTACGCAACAGCGAGGTGGAAACTGTGCAGAATGGTAAAAGAATGTGTCATGTGTACTGAAAATTTGAATGATAATTCTTGCTCCGCAGGCGTCGATAATATTACCACCTTGTACCGTGCGTTGGCTGCAGTTTACATGCCTCCCGCATAGCGTTTTACAAAAGAAGGAAACGAGCCAATTATTGCTTAAGCCTTATTGAGTTGATTTTGACATTTTTGGAAACTGTTCCCTTTAATCTTTGTAGCTTGTTGAGCACTCCGTGTGACAAGTGTGTGACAGGTGTGACAGAACGTCATTGGACTGAAATAACCATGCCCTTGTCCTAACAGTGCCAAAAGCACATACCGTGACAACACCGTGACAGAACTATGTACATTTCAAACTGTGCTTGAAATTTAAAGTCCACGACGGAAACGTACAGCAGTTTACTTACTACTAGTCATGTGTGAAATACTGTCACTGAGTCGTCAACTGTGTGACCGTACGAAAACACCATGTGTACACAGGCTTGCTTCAGAATGCACGATTTAATCAAAACGGTCCAACGAAACAGAAGGCCACAGCAAGTAAACATTATGGATGACATCCTCCGCAGACTCCTAATCTAATTCGATAGAGTGAAAGAAAAACAAGGAGGGCCAAACAACAAGATTCCTACATTTTCAAATTTTACCAATTTGTCGAACGGGGAATGATACCTATGTTGTGCTAAGTTTACCAACAACTGCTATGTTATAACATCCTTTCTCACTGAAACAATTTTGAAAAATAAAAGTTTTCAATCGAATGTACATATCGTTTTGATTCACTGGCACATATACACAGCCACCATCAAATATAAAGGAATGAAATTTTTACATTACTGCATCAAAGTAAAAGACAAAGCATTAAATCATGTCTTTTCTGCTCTTGTCATATTTATCTGTTAACCACGTTCCAACATGGCAACAGACATCTTTGTCCATTTTCGGCATGTTGACCACTGTCAGAAGGCAATTTTTTTTTCCAAAATCAGGCGAAAATTAGTGCGCGCGCTGATGTCATCCAAAAATTTACTTGCTGTTGCTTTATGGGTAAATATAAAACAACGTGATGGCATTATTTGGCCTCCTTTAGTCAATATTGATCATGGTTAAGTCCTAATTTATATCAGCCCTTCAGCTTCAACTATTGTATGCTGAACAGTCATATACGAGAGTAAAAGTTTCTGCCACATAGTAGTTAGCCTGGTTAACCAGACCACCGTGAGCTCAGTGCTATCCCTTCGGCACCGAGAGCGTTTTGAGCCGCCAACCAGGCCTCAATTACCGCGCTTCGGGGGAGTTTTATAGGTTTCTTCGCTCACGAGTCACGGTCGGCGGCAAAAGAAGACTAAGCGTAATACAGGAAGTCAGTGGATACAGGGAAACCAGCTGGAGATGGTCCGTGGCATAACTCGCCTGTGCTTGGTAAAGACCGGGGCCGAAAAATTACCGCCAAACCGACCAAGGGTTTGTTGATTTGGTACCCAGGCCACATAGTATCCTCTATCAGGCTTTAGGAAGCAGCTGAAAAGAGTAGAAATTTGCCAAATGGACAGATGATACGCAAAGAGAGTCGGTCCGCTCTCGCATGGCCATCATTTGGTAAGACTGCTCGCGAACTTCAGTGAGCCTTAGTCGGTTGATGGCCGTGGGATGGTTCGAGATGTATAAATAAACTTAACTATAAAAAATATCTACAGCGTTACGTGACCTAAGTGAACTTGCAAATCTTTTTTTGTTTAGTATTTAGGCCACACCAATTCATTTTCTTGGTTCTCGGATACGCCTATTATTTTTTTTTCCGATTTGCAAAAAAAACAAGTATGATGTTTTTAAAAAAACACAGGCGACGATTTTGTGTTTACCTGTTTCGTTCTTGATAAATCGTTCTTTTCATACACGTACACATATAATTTGGAAAGAATTTATAATTTCTGCTACAGTGCCAAAAAAGCCGCCAGGGGTCCAAAATCAGTTAGGCCCTGGCAAATTTATGCTGTGTTTCTTGCAGTTAAAAAATTTGAATCGCTAGATAGGGATTCACTTAATATTTTAATGTCTTTTAATTTTTTCATAGATTTTTATAATTAGTGATCCAACTAATACAGTGAATATAACACTGAAATGTATAAGTACACTGGTATCTTCAACACTACACTAATTTCGCCCCTAGAGATAAAATAGTGAAACGCGGTCCATGGGTTCACCGTAAATTCCCGAATAAAGTACGCACCCCTTCTGCGCACGGCCGGTGCCACTGTGGACATGTACATGTAGTATATGTATGTCTTAAAAACAGTTAGTTCTAGAAACAAATCGTTTTAGGCCGTGTACTATATACGTGATTGCATGATAACTGGATACAGTATTGTAGCGGGAAAGGTTTCGTGTTGGGGCTTGTTTTCATCGCTGGCCGCAGCCGATTTGCAAGACGTCACCCCCGCATCGAAGGGTAAGGCGAGTGCGGCGAAACGGACAGCTTTGGATCACGGAGAGTGTTGGTGACCAAGCCAGCAATGGTCAATTAAGTTTTGTTAATATTTCAATAATGGTTTCATCGGTAACAAGGGGTAGTTGAATGTTGATACACAAGTACGTAGCTTTGTTGTCCTTTACTACTATACGAAATGCGCCGAACACTTTAGGCCATGTTGATTTGATTATATGGATGACATCCGCGCGCGCATGAATTTTCGGCCGTTTCAAAACAAAAAAAGAGTTTTCAACCATACTGTAAATCGTGCAAAACAGTTGCTAAATGAGCAAAAATATACCATAAGTTGCAAGGAAAACGTTTTAGAAACGATACCAATGTCGTAGAATGCCAAAATCAAAGGAAAAAAGACAAAAATGTAAAGAAATGAATTCGAAGAGTAGATTATTCGCCATAACATATTCTGTGCCATTTGTTCAACCTTCATGACCATGACCAGATTTCATAGTGAAAGCAACTTTTTTTTTTGCAAAACTTTTTTTTTATTCGCACGCGCGCATCAGTTTTGGGGTTCCCAGAGGATGTCATCCATATATTCAAATCAACATGGCCTTAATAGGGCAACGATCATCGAGGCGGAGAACTGGGCAGAGCGTTGATGCTACTGTGGGTGTGGAAGTGCTACCGTATTTAGAATTTGAAACTGCAAAAGGCTACTGGGACTTGCGATTTATAACAGGGGTGAGTGAAAAGTTTGACTGCGTTTCAAATAATCTCTCGTAATGTGATAGTTTGATGTTTTTGTCACAAAATCAAAGGAATAATGTACACTTCAAATATGTATTAATTTGTACTCCGTAAAACTGAGTCCGTTCAGAGGAAAGAAATACTTCCTTCTCGGGGCCAAGGTTCTGGAAAGCTGTCCTCAGCGCTGCCACGGCCCTCTCTTCGTTCTTCAGCTGTATGTGTACTTTGCAGGGGAAAAGGATCGGCGTGCACAAGACAACGGGCGCAGCATGATTCAAAGTTTATTTTATATTTACGCCCTTGTTCACGCCGATCAAAAGAAACTGTGACAATTCGGTACGTGCAGGCCCGTGCACGTGGCGACACAGGCTGGCTTCCGCTCTAGCTGTGGGTTCCCACGATGTGTTGCCAAGGGCAGCGGCACGTACACAGACCTACCGGCGGATCCCACCCACCGGGCGGCGGTAAGATTTTCAAAGACTACATTTATAACTCCGCCCCTATCATTGTTGCGTGCCGAACAGTCGAGTACATCTAACTGGCATTTTTACGTCGTACTGACACATACAGCCCGCTACAAAGTAATTTCCTGTTGCATTTAACGATTTAAAAAGAGTTGTGATACGAAATGAAATATTGATAACAATTTATGTTATTAAAGTGAACCTTTGTAACGGCATGGATCATCTTTGTTGAATATTTCTGAGTTCAACTCAAGCCGGAAGTGCATTAGAACCTACCATCAGTCCAGGTGCAACAATTATGTTATCACGTTACGTTACGACGATCAAGAACGTTCACGGCTTGCGGACCATTTCAAATATTATAATTTTATAATGGAAAAAAATCTTACGTGGGTTTATATTTTCGGCCGGAGTTCCACGAGATCGGCGCCGGCTGGCTCGGGAACGATCCCATCGGCATGACGGAGATTCCTCTCTCCTTGCAGAACTAGTTTGGGAAACACTTTGGGATCGTCGTCATTCTTTGTCTATGTTCTACAAAATTGTTCACGGTAATATCCGCCAGCATCTTGAAGACCTAATTACTCCTGAAGTTGCCGTTTCTATCTGTTACGACCTTCGTAATAAGCACAACCTTCGGCTGCCATGTTGATTGATTATATGGATGATATCCTCTGGGAACAGCATTATGATGCGAGCGTGCGACTAAAAAAGGTTTGGAAAAACCTTTCCTTCATCATGAAATCTACGTGCATTGTCATAAAGGTTGAACAAATGGCTTAACACACAGAGTATGTATGGTATGGCGAGTAATAATAGACTGGGGTCCGGTCCATGAACTTGGAGTTAACTTCATGTAACTCTGAGTGCATCTCCCGTAGGCGCCAGAGCGGTAAACGTTAACTTCATGTAATTCTGTAAAGTTTAGTCCCAAGTTACTCCCGAGTTACCACCCCGCTCGGTAAATGTACAAGCGACTGTTTGGTGAGTCTTTGAATGTATTGTGTTTCTTTAAACCCCTTCGGATTTGTACCCAGCTAAATCTCAAAATTTTACAGTAAGTCACGAGAAAATTCAAACATTGGGTTGACCTTATTGGAAAACACATGGTTCCGACACCCTTCTGAACAGCCGAATCGCGGGGAGCGATTTCTACCGAAAATGACCGAAATAAAACATGACGTAATGCTTGCAACAGCATGCGGTTGCTGATTGGTCAAATGTTTGTCAGGGTATTATGGGTTGCCGCCTGCTAGCAGAAGCCGGAAGTGAATTCCGCTTCCAAGGATCGAGATGGACTCCAGTCAATTTTCCAATCGTCCCGAAACGTAACAAATCTACTTTCATTTCGACATCGGGACAGTAGTAACGAACACCTAATTTCTTATTTCCTGCGAAACATACCTTCGCTCTCACTGCGCTCAGACAGGCAAAGAAGGTTATCTATTACGTTATAGTGTAGCCTTCTTGGATAGGCGAAAGTAGGTCAATGGCTTGAACTTTTCACCCTTTTCACCCGGTCTGTTTGCTGTGTCAGGGAAACAGTTTTCTCATCTCAATATTACAATTAAAATAATCAATGACATTTTGTATTCACCAATCAACGGTCCCAGACTATAGGACGCCCCTAGTTACAATGTCTAAATAATGATCGATGTAAGTCCCGACTTTAAAAGGGACAACTGCCGGCTCGGAGGTTCAGAATGGAGTTTGAGGACACCAGTTGCCAGAACTCTCCCGGGCCCCAAAGCTTTTGGTTCCCGCCGGGCGCGGGGCGCGGGGCCCGGGCACTTTCCACCGGCCGGGGCTCCGGGCACGATCTCCACTGGCCGGCACCGGCGGCGCAGCACCGAGGAATTACCGGGGAGCTCCGCTGGTATGGTCACCGGACTAGACAGGGGAAGCGCGCCGCGGCAGCCGGCTTGGTCAGCGTGGATTTTTACTTGGAACAAAATAGGTAAGGTCTTAAACTTAGTTGGTTTCTAAAATCTGTTTGTTATAGTTTTACACTGTTTACCTGGTTACCGGTCACAAACCGTAGAGGTACAGAGGAACCTACGAAGGACCGGTTGAAGCTATTAAAAATGTATGCTTTAATGTTACTTCCTAATGTTATAAATGTGCCATAATCGTATCAGTCTAAATTTTGCAATCACAGCCGTGTTTTTGCAGTGTCACGTCTGCTAGTTGTTGTACTAGTACCCAGTCTCTATTTTTTTTCTGTACGAGACTTGTATGTACTTCGTGTTCTGTATATGTATGTTTAGTAAACTTTCCCCTATTTCTGTTCGGAATTCTTGGTATCTTTCAAGCAGACTTTTTCTAGATTTCTATTACTTTTTCTATGTTATTCTGGTGTTCTTGGATCTCGCTATGTTGTCGTCATGTCCCAGGGTATTTCCTTATTGTGGTTCTAAATGGGACATCACTATGTGTGCTATTTATCACCGACAAAGATTCAGTCCTATAATTACTGCCATGGAGGAACGGTTCTACTAACCCTAGTACATGTATCACTCGCAGTGGTTTTGGGAAATTTTGGTGAGTTCGCTTTTACGATAAGAATTACAAATTATTGTTTACGGATTCGGGTGTTGTTATATCATGACTGATCGATACGTCATTGTTGATCACTGACTCGGAGTTAGAGAAAGTTTAAAGTTGCTTGTTGGCTGGTTACCGCACGAGTGGAGAGAAGTTGGAATTTAAGTTTATTACGCATTAAAAATGTGTGCCACTTGACGTTAACTTCCACCGGGATCAAGTTTCAAGTTCGGCTTTACTTGATATTCTCGGACTCCTCTTTCCGACAAAACCCTTGTGCTCAAATGAGTGGCTTAGGGATATTTTGAAAGCCCCAGCCAAACTCTGCTGATATGTCAGATCTTTCCAGCTGGCCTTTCTAATCATTGTCGTCCTGTAACTGACCCGGTAAAATACCCCTGGGCGGGCGGGCAGTGCTGACTTCACTCATCTTGTTCTTTGTGTGGTTTATTCCGTCCATTTTGCTTCCAGAATTTGGTCAGTATTTCATTACAGATCCAGCTGGTTGTCTTTATCAGGTATCGACGATCAGTGTTTTAGTGAATTGTTTTTAATAGCTGCTCGTTTTTAGCTGCTGGTTTATGTAAAGTTTGAGCCACCTGACGCCAAGTTCCGCCGGGGTTTTCCGGTCTTACCCTCAATTCTCTACGTCAAGGCTCTTCTGTCCAGTAACCCCGGGCGTTGTTTTTTCTTGTCTTTCCAGTAAACCTCAGACATGCAGCGAGGGATACCCTACTGTTCTACACTGAACACCGGTGCTGGCATATAAGGTTATGCCCTGTCCGCGCTAAACTGCCCGCACCTGCCAACGACTCGGGGTTCCGAACAGTGGAGACCATCTCAGTGTACGGAGAAGGTTTCAGTACGTCATATACTCATCTCTAGGTCAACGCAATTCACACAATAGCAAGTTGATATTATTTCCGCGTATTCTGTACATATGTGTAGTTTACCTGCTGACATCCCAACATAATAAGGTCCAAGTTTCACATCGTGGTCACGCTGAACGCTGAAGAACTATGCTGAATAACGCGACCCTAGCATGCAACAAACTTCGCTAACCAGTACTACATTGTTTCTTTCAGCTCTACATGACGACAAACACAACAGTTACTCAAGAATACAATCAAAAAGTGGAACAAAATACCAGGTGAGTGCCTAACCATCCTTATTTTATGCAATAGTGTTCATAATCACGATGGTTAAGCAATGTTCGCATCTCTATATAGTACTTCTTTCACAATAAGCTGTGTGACTTTTGAAATACGGTAACATGTTTACTATGATGTCATTGCTGGGAAAACAGTGTAGCCTGGGTGCCAGGCCCTGTGACACGATACTCCATTCAGTCGGGGAAACCACACGCCCGGAACCCAGAATAGATACTCTAGATAAATTGAAGAAGGATGCCAGCTCCGAAACTGGGGCGTGTTGGGCGATATAGATGCCCGATCGAGAGACTAAAAAAAAAAACACTTTCTTTCTCCTAAGCGAGGAGGTAAGCTCCTTGTTCTAAGTGCTAGGGTCTGGCACATATGCTAGTCATAATGAAATTATATATATTACCTGGCAGCAGAAAATCTCACACGGCATGTATACTTCATGATGTCGCAAATTTCATTGCCAGAAAAGGGTGTATTTATGTGTCCGCTTCATTGCATTCTTTTAATTAATCGACTCACATTGCATATTTACATTTATGTGTAAAGCATGACCCCAAATCTTGTTGATTTAAGTTAGTCCTAGCTGGTCAAAGTTGGCATAGATTCATTTATGCTCTTTTCTCTCTTTATACCACAGGCAGACTTCGGCATGTCCACCCTGAGATGCAGACTACAGCAGGAATTTACTGGCTAGCACGAAACCCAGTCGTGGAAGGATTGGGGTGTGCATTCATGTTTTTCACGCAAGAAAGTTGAAAAACAAGCACTGCAGCTGAATGCAACAGCATCGTGAAAGCAAAGAAAAAAATAATAAAAAAGCAAGACTGACACAAACATGCATACATTGTGTGTTACATAGAAAACACACAAGTGAATAAAATTCCTTACACAAAACATCACTATTACATGTATCACACAGGTAAGTTATAAAAAAACGACCAGCATCATATAATTGAAACTAAAAACATAATTGAAGCATTATAAGCTTGAATGTCGCTCCTTGTTCTTTCTTATGAGCAAGAAAATTTGTTCTCTCTTGATAGGAGAAAACATATTTGAAATATCAATAAAGATAATCATTAATATTCTGTGTGCAAAAAGGCACAGTTTGCCCGAAAAGGTGCTTTTTGCATGCATGGTAACATAGGCCTTTCCTGCTGGGTCCGAAGACATAAGGCCGGAGGCTACCTCAAAACCAATTCCCCAGGGAATGCATTCGTAAAATTTTTTAAATTCTTTCAGCTTGATCGTAATATACTGTAAAAACGGCGACGCCTCAAAAAAAATATAGTTCTGGGCATGAATCAACTAAAAAAATGCTCATATTTTGCCCCCAACAGTTGAGGAAAGTCCTAGTTGTTAACAGTTTTTCCATTTGTCAATGCAGTGGTTTGATTAAAAGTTCAAAATTCATTGTTTTGACATTAACCCAGCCTTTTGTGTTGACTTCATGGCTACTATCGTAGTATTTGGGGCTATAATAGCATGCCAAGACCTGTTTTTATTTTTTTTTATTTCACCCTTTCACTTCATATTTTTTTCTGAAAAAGTACTAGAACCAACAAATTAAATTAGTGTGGCCTTAGAACAAAAAATAATGTGACGCTCTAGAGGGACCTTTGCAACCGGCTGCGTTGAAAATTCGCTTGTTTTTTCTGTTTTGTATGTAATTATAATTTTTTTTTTAAATTTTTGCCGCAATCAACACAGAGTACAAATACAGGACAATACTTATTTTCACTTGAGTTACATGTAAGTGAGGAAAGTCGTGTTAAGTGCCTTTCCCAAAGGCACAAGATCAGTGGCATGTCAGGGCTCGAACCCGGACCTCTTGGTTCCGAGTCGAGCACTCTGCCGCTATGCCACTCGACCCATGCACATGACCCTATACATGTAAGTTGAAACTTATAAGAGGTATTTAGTGAGAGTCTGTATAACTGCTGTAGTTAAGTTATCAGTCATTTCCAATTACGGGTAATGTACTATGAGAAATAACGTCTCTGTTTAGCTTGGGGAAGCTCTAATCACACATTTAGAACATTTCCCCGAACACCAGCCCAAAAAGGGTGCCTGAATTTCTAAACCAATCTGACCAGATTTAGCCTACACCAATATTTCTATACTAATAAAATCGAAGCTAAATATATGAATAAAGTCACCCTACGTACAGAATGTATATGTATACGCAAATAGTTCCCATTATTAGTTTTTTTGAAGCGTTTATCCGCTTTGTTGTCTTTTCTATCACACTTTTCGTTCCATTAGACTGCCCAGTGTGGAAAAGTGACCTCAGTGGTAAGGCAAAAATTTGACAGGAACTTAAGATATTTTAGCGCTCATCTGCCATGGAATTGGTAAATCTCTCATTTTGTTTATACCACGCCCGAGCGACAAACTGTTTTCTTCAGCGTTCCACTGGCATTTTATCAATCTATCTTGCTATTTTATACTCTTTCCAATCGCTTCCGAAGCCCAGTAGAGACTAGTTTTGGATATCACGTACCTTTTCTGCCAATTGCTGTTAAATAATAATTCTCTTCAAGTCTAGTTCTACCCCGTTGAGTTTACCCTTTGATGTGGGGCTGGCAGGCAGGTTGTTTCGGGTGCAAAGTAGATTTGTAGCCGAGTGAAGATTAACGACGAGGGGAGATCAGCAGAAGAAAGGCAGGGTAAAGTTTACACTTTTACAGATAACGTTCAGCCTACCTTGTTAACATGACGTCAGTGAGAGTCGAGCGGACGGGAGGACGATGCCCAGCTGACAAGAGAACGATGCCGGGCCGACTGGTGGGCGATGCGGAGCCGACTAGTAAAGGACACCGAGCCAACAAGAAGACGATGCCGAGCCTATGGGAGGGCGATGCCGGACCGACTGGTGGGTGATGCGTAGCCGACTAGTAAAGGACACCGAGACAACGAGACGACGATGCCAGGTTGGCGGACATACGATGCCGAGTTGACTGCAATACGATTCCGAGCCAACGGGAGGACGATATACCCAGCCGACGGCAGTACGATGTGGAAGCAGTGATGTTGTCGTCTGAGACCTACCTGTCTATCCACTACGAACAAGGTGGCCCTGTTTTATACCTCCCACCCTCCTTTATGCTTAAGCAAGTCACATTTTCTGGGAAGCCCAACGACTTGCAGTGACTGCCCCTCCCAGTGATAGTCATGCTCGTGTTCATGTACACAATCAATAGTCAGGCGGATATCACGACTTACCAGGGTCGTGACGATGGCTTAGGTAGGGCCGAGAGAAGGTCATTACTTACGTCACACCTATGCGCTCCTTTGATTCGTCATAATAAGATTTTTTCAGCCTCCACCAGGCCTTCCTACGTGGTTACGGATCGTACAATTCGGTAAAGGGGGGGGGGCGNTCCGACCGCGCGTCGGATCGCCCGACGGCCGATGGCCGGAGGGAGATCCGATCCGCGGGAGGGCTGGGACCGAGGGTGATGCGGAATACCCCGTGTTGTATTTTATTTACGTCATACCCACCCAAGAAAACACGCCTTTCAATGCGAAATGAGCGAAAATTTCGTGTCCCTAAACCCAAAAAATGCAACAACAACAATTCGAACGTCCGAATTTTGTATTCGAATTTTCGAAAGCGGCACACGCGGTTAGGGCGAAACGCGTTATAACTATTCTATGGAACATTTGGAAGGCCCAGGCCGTACGCGGTAAGAACCCCCGGGCCGTACCGCAAGTTATCACACGGGCCGGAACACCCGTATCGAACGTAATCGCGGCCCTGGTGCTACCTCAGTTTTAAAAAAAGGGGCCGTGGCTACATACCAGCCCAGAATTAGGTACAGAGTACAGAAGCTGTTGGCGGTTACCAAGTATGGATAGTGGAGACAAGGAAGGAAACTAAGTGTAAGCAATGCTGTACAAGTGGCCAGTATGAACTTATCGGTCCTGAACTTGTTCTAAATTCTGGGCTAGAACAATCGTATACTTAAGGGGGGTACAATGTGACACTTTTACACCTTAAAATTAAATTATTTTATCTTTGGCAAATATCCATGTTATAATTGTAATTTACTTCCATTTCTCAACACACTTGTGCATATTTACTCACATGTTTGACATTTATGGTTGTCGAATGTTCTAGAGGCCATGATTTACTTTGTGTGAGGCAGGGGGTTTGATAAACAGTTGCGCCTGATATTTACCTAACACCGCTCCCTGACAAATGACTGGAAACACTTCAGTACAAAAGACCACGTCTGTGCCCATTTCCTTATAGCGGCACACCTGTTTGTCTGTCACAAGGAAAGGTGTGTTCTTCACGGCTTCCAGGTAAGGCCACAGCAAGTAATTTATGCATGTCATCAGCGCCTGATATTTTCGCCTGATTTTGGAGAAAAAAATAAGAAATTTGCTGCCTCCTGACAGTGGTCAACCGAAAATGGGCAAAGATGTCTGTTGCCATGCCGGAAGGTGGATGACAGATAACTATAAAGAGAGGAGACAAGAAAAGGCTCTGATTTAATGTTTCGTTTTTTTTACTTTGATGCAGTGATATGTGGTCTCTATGTAATGTTCCCACTGAATCAAAGACATTGATTGAGTCAAAATTTAAAAATGTTGGAACCTTGCTTTTTCCCTCGCTTGTATTATATTTGGAGTCTGCGGAGGATGTCATCCATAAAATTCCCTTCCTGTGGCCTAAAATAGTACTTGTTAGTATACGTGATCTCAGATGACGTATACTCGTGTCTTACGTCACGGCCTAGCCTGGCGTCCAGTCTATCGCGGTTGGGGCGAGTTCTCTTCGGAGCTAAAGAAGCTCTTCCCCGCCCGACTCAGCTAGATTCCCCGGTAGGTTTTACACGATAGGAGTTCAATTAGCTGGGCTAATCAACTGGCGTGCAACACTCCTACAGGCGAAACACTCCCACTGTGTGGTCTGTTGAGCTTGACGGGGAAAATACCCCCGAAGACAGCCTGACCTAGCCTGTGTTACACAAGCTCTCGGCCGGAGGTTACTGACCCCCACCCCAAGAATAGCGGCAACTTCGGGGCGCCCGGCCGCCAGGAGCGACAGGATTAGTCAAGCTAAGCCTGACCCAACCACGATAGACTGAATCGTACCAGGCTAAGCGTGGCCAGGCACGCATGTTTAATAAAGTCACATGTTGGGCGTTTGAGGCATGAAAACAGCATATCATTCTTCTTGTACCAGCAGCAGTGGTCTGGTAGAAGAATTATTCTTGTGTTGACTTAAAAGAATTATTCTTGTGTGGACTAAAAATACAGCGTTTTTCAACACGAGGACAATTGATCATGAAAGAGTCAATATGGCTAGGCCATTCCTTTACAAAGTATCAATCAACCTTACATATTATTTATGAAATGGGGGTGGCAACAAAATAGCCCCTTGTTTAAACGAGTGTGTCTAAAAGCTGGAACATGTATTTTGTGCGCATTATGTAGACGGCATCGACGTGTTCGTGGGGGGTCTTGCTGAGGAGTCCGTGCCGGGCGGTGTCGTGGGTCCAACCTTCGCCTGTCTGATCGGCCTGCAGTTTCAGAATCTCCGCAAGGGGGACCGCTTCTGGTTCGAGAACCACGGGCAGTTTATAGCACATTGGCTGTCATATATTTACGAATGGCTGGTATTTGTCCAGGTCGGCTATACTACTTTTCAGCTGCTCCAGCCGAATTGTTCAAAGTGCCCAATAAATTTAGGTGTGCACGGGAGGGTTGAGCTCTTGTTCGAGTGTAGATGGGGCGTGGTCGGTTTAGATTTGACTTAAATTTAACTTAAACTCGATATGGAATGGTAGGCGTGGCCTTAATGCGGTCAGACTTCTACTGACCGTCGGCCAACCTTGGACCGGCTGGCGTTATGGATGTGTGACA